TTTTTTTTTCTAGGGCAGGGATTTTTATCAAGCAGAACTTCTGGTTTTATTAAACAGACCGTTGTGCCCACTGTTTGAAGACTTCATGTCACTTTAATTTTCAGTTCCAGGCTTTTTGTCACTCATGCACCTTTAAAGTGATGTGACTATAAATGGCTTGCAGGTAGTGGGTGTCGGATACAGCCGTTTGCTCTCGCTCAGACGTACTTCATCTTGTCATCATGAAACAGGATCCTAAAATTGGTATTTCAAAAAAAGAGGCTCAGTCCTTTGCACTTACATAAATCACTGACTGTCACTTACCAAACTTCCTGTTGAGATCCCTGCTGCGTAAAGTCAGTGTAAACCCACGGCGTTACAGCACAGCTTGAGAAATATAGCACATTCTTTTACACAGCCTTGTGCTCCCGTCACTGATGTGCACACTGGGAGAGGAGCACTGACACAGCTCCCTGCTTCCCTGACAATCCCAGTTTATAGCTGCAATCTGCATGTGGGTGGACCTGACACTTCCAAGGACCGCTGATGACACGAGCCTTGGGCTGTATCCAGCCTTGTTAAACTCAGCGAGACCCGGGCAGTTAAGACCCACGAAAAATCTGCTGCCTTGTCCTAATTGGATTTCTTATCTTGGCTAGTGGCGTAAGGCCACTGCTATGATATGAAGAGGGGGCATATAAGAGGATAACAGAGAGCTGTTGCGACCTCAGCACCAGACTACAGGGGTCAGACACGGAGAGATTAACGTTTTTTGGGGGGTTTTTTGTGTGTGGTTTTTTTTTTTTTTTTTGTGCAACACAGAAGAGTTTTGGAGTTCTTAATCCTGACCATGATCCCTGCTTTTCCACTCATTCCTGAGACACGGTTGCTCGAGCTGAAGGCACCGTGCATCAGCTACAGTGTCGGACACTCCGAACCGTTGCTCACCTCGGGTGTAATTTTTATACAGAACTCCGATTGCGAATGCAGCAGGCATCTTCGGTTCGATTTCCATAAAAGTGAAAAAGACAAGACGGTGAAAGACAACAGAGCTGCACACAGATATTCATAAAATGTATTTTGTAAGCAGGCACTCCTGCAAGCCATCAGGGCATCAGTCCACAGCATACCTCTAAACAACAGAATATGAGGCTGAATATTCTCAAGGAAAAGTAATTCAAGCTCTGTTTATTGCCACTGTGAGAGGAAGCCCGGATCTAAAACTATTTTGTCTCAGAAACTTCTGTTTTTCTACACAATATTGTTTGTATGGTTTTTATATTTGCTCAGACAATTTACCCATGTATCAATATGTGTCAGCACATCAAGCTGTAGTGAAGCGAACCAGGACAAGCACTGTCAATCCAATTCTTCTGGTTCACCTGAGTAACACCTGTTCACTTGCTCCTCTGCCATTTTAAAACTGACCTCACAAGCTAAACGTAACAATAAGGAGAAGACATTGTCATCGTCATCATCACGCTGTCATTTCTGCTCCGTCTGTTTTCTTTTCCTTGGCTGCTCCAACCAATTGGCGCCGTTGTCTAATTGCCCTCATTGATCTTCATTGGTTTAAAGCAGCCACAAACTCCCAAACCGCCGCCCTCCCCTCCGAGACACTTTGTAGATACTTCAAATCAGAGTGAGGAGATGGCTCTTCCATCTTGACTGACTGTGAAACTCTGATTCTATAAATGGTCCCATGCAGGTTTAAACAGGTCACATTTGGACACTTTGGTATAGTCCCTCTCAAAGATGTGGCTTGGACTCATCGAGCACGACTCACTGAGTGATGAACAGAGTTCACACCAAGTGTAGAGATCCGATGCAGCTACTGTTGACACACAATGACAAATATCTATCTGTATCTGTCACCATATTTACATCTTTTCTCTAAGCTCTTACAAAAAGGAAAACTTTCAGTGGCTTTTCAACCACCGCCTTTGTTCACATTTAGATGGATGGATGTTATTCATTCCATTGATTGAAGGGATATTTTATATACAATGAAAACCTGAAAAACAATATTTCACTATCCATTATCCATTATGTGAAATATCCACTATGTTGATACGCTGTTGTTTCCTTCCTCTTGCGTAAAGGTCCTGACAGCAAGTGTCCTCAGTCAGCTTCTCACTATGAATCATGGAATCCACCATAACCACTGGAGTTTCTGCCAAAGCTTTGGTTCTTTCACATGAGAGATTTATGTATTTGTGTTTTTGTCTTTGTTCTTCTCGCTGGTTTGGCAAAGGTGATGTCATGCACCTCTGTGCACCAATCAGAGTTTAGCAACATTTGAGCCAAAATGTGATAACAGTTGATGTTTTGTTTTGTCATTGTCAATTAAATCTGATGAAACGACGCCCACACAGGCATGAAGAAGCAGATTGACTGAATAATGATAATAAATGGAGATGTTTTTTTTTCTTTTAGTGTTAATTGTTGTTCATTTACTCGTGAATATTTAAATATATAAAGTCTGTTTTACAGGAGCTGAAATGGACAATACTGATTCATCACATTACATTACAGTAAGTCTTGGTAGTTTGTCCATCCTCTCTGTGTTAACATTGTACTCACCAAGTGAATTACTGACGTCAGTGAATGCAGCAACAATAAAAGCAAGTCAAAGCCTTGAGTTAGCCAAACTTATTTGGAGGTGAAAGCAAAGTGATTGGTAAAAATTATTCTCCACACTGTCTGCTGTACACATCTATCAAGGTTGGCAGAACAACTTTGACCTATAGTACTTTGTAGTTGTGAACACACACTTTTCCTGAGCCATAAACTATTGTTACCAACATTTTACCAACTGCTCACTTTCAGTTTCACCTCTAAATAAATTGCTTTAGACAATATGGCTGAACCTTTGGCTTGTTTACAACCTGCCTGATCATGATTGTGCTTCTTCCATGATCAGACTTGTAGCAATTTTGCTGTTTTCCCCAGATCTCACTGATGAACTGATGACGGCCAAAACAGCTACGTGAACGAGAAACCAGCTGAAATAAACCAGAATTACCACTAAACCTAAATCAAAAACAAAGTCGTATTTAAAAACATAATAGCTTCAAGCAGTACATGTGACGACTGAAACGATTGTCCCTCAGGGCTTACCGTAGCTGTATGTGCTCGCCATTCAGCACTACAAACTCCTGCTTGTTCGCCTGTTAGTCTATTAGCATGTTAGCCTGTGGATATTACTCCTGATCCCTGCTGTAGTTTGGTTAGGTTACACACAGGAGTTGCTTGATTTTGATTATTTACTGTAAAAATAAAATCCACGTAGCATATTATCAGCTTTATGTATCCGACAGCTTTATATTTTCAGAGGATAATGAAGTGTATTTTTTTATTTCAACTTCATGCAAAGGGGTGCAATGTTCAATACTTGAAATATTCTAAATACTAAATACATATAGAAGTCTACTTCTAGTACATAGAGGAAAAATAAAACTCAAACATCCAAAACATACGATGTGGAAGCCACAGCTTCATTTCAAACACACTCCATTGCCTTTTTATGAGCATCCTGTATTGTGGCTTTATAAAAATGGTTGGATGGCTGGCTGGTAAAAATCAGCCGCTGTGCGTTGAGCTACATCAGCACCACAAAGACAGATGACAGATGAAGAGCTGGCCTCAGCACAAGGGTCACAGATAAGGTCCCAGCATCAGGAGGCTGTATAAGCAGTAAGTGATGACTGTGGATGATGTCTCATATCTCAGCAGCTGAAAACACACAAGGAGGCGCAGAGTGTTTTCTGATTCCAACTGTTCAAACGCCACAAGAAAATAAAAACAAAAAAGCATAATTGATCCTATTAACCAATTTTCACCCATCTTTCATCCCAAAGTTGAACTCTGCTTATTCTCACATTCAGCCTTATATTCCAAAATTGCAGCCTCTGGGATGGCAGGGAGGAGGATCGATGAAATTTGCCCCAAGCTAAATTTCTCTGGTGGGACATCGAGGTTGAAAAGTGATGCAGGACCCGCGGCAAAATCGATTCTGTTGTTGAGTCACACACACACACACACACACACAGACACACACACACACACACACACACACACACACACACACACACACACACTCTCTCTTTCTCTCTCTCTTTCTCTCTCTCTCTCTCTCTCTCTCTCTCTCTCTCTCTTCTCTCCATCGCAGGTTTAAGTGCACAAAATGAAGAAAATGCAGATGCTTGGAGACGTTTCTCGATCGTGACTGTGACAGAAAATCACGCTGTTAATTGGCTACCTGTCTCTCTCTCTCTCTCTGTCTTTCTTCCTCTCTCTCTCTCTGTCACACACACACACACACACACACACACACACACACACACACACACACACACACTTCTTGCAGCATCCGTGCATCCACTTAAATGCGATTTGTTAATTCAAACAACAGGTTGAAAATCGGGATGATCTCCAGAGACTGTGCAGGGCAAAGTTAACCAACTGCTCTGCACCACCAGATGTGTTTAATGGTGTTTGATGGCGCGATGCTTCAGGTATTTTTCTCACCGTAGCCGTGTGAAAGTAGCAGACAGAGACAAGTGCAGCGCTTTGTCTAAAGGCAGACTCTGTATAATTCCTTGTCAGCCCATACAGACAATATAATCATAAGGTGCATGACGTGATATGAATGAAATCTCGCCACTGCGCCAGTGTGTGTGGCTCCTCATCCAGCACGTTTACACTGGATGTCAAGAGCCAGAGCTCCCTCATTCAAACCCGAGCCGAGAGGATTCAGGTTACCTGCATACTTTCATGTTCAAATCAAAACTGTTTTCAAATAGGAGCCGTAACTTCATCAGGCTGTAACGGGGATGCTGATTATGCATATCCTCAACCCATCTCCAAAGCGCTGCGCGTCAATGCGCATACCCGCTCACCAAGCCCGCACCGAAGTTTTGAGCAGTGACAGAGCTGCTGCTGCTGATGATGATGATACAGAGTTACATAAAACAGGAGTAAGTTCAATGCAGCGAAGGAGAATGGTTCATAAAGCCTACCTTGATGGCCTTCGTAGACTGGCATTTAACCTGATGCGATACAGTGGCGGTTTGGTTCATCTTGGGACGCCGGCACAAACTGTCCTCCAAGCCAAGTCTCAAACACACACACACAAAAACAGCAGAGAAGAAAAACAAAAGGAGTCTCCTGTTTTACTCTACAGCGTGGGATGTTCACTGTTTTCCGTCTTTGTTCGCTGTGCGGTGGAAGCGAAGCGCGCAACCGCATCTGACAGCTACTGTAGACTGTGTGCCTCGCGCAGCGCTGCGCGGTCTGTAGGCATGTGCACAGATGACCGATTATGAGTGGTCACCAGGGGCGACCGGAGAGTTTTCTGAATGGGGTGGCCAGAGGATAGTAAAGCCCGAGGTTTCTGCCAACATCCTCAAACAAAAAGACACATCAAATCCAGAGCACTGAAATTTATGTAGGATTTTTTTATTATTATTTTGAAATCCCTTCTCTTTGCTTCTCATAAAGCAAGTGGGCAAGTCAAAACTGAACATAGACTGATAGATACATGAAATAACATAAAATACCAGTGCATCTGCTTTCACGTGATATCTAATGCATTGTGCAGAAAAAAAAACAATTTAATGGAATCTATGACACCTCTGGAAACACACATAACCTGCAAGCAAATCCCAGGGCAAAAATGAACCACGCTGGTGTATCCATTCTCTGCCTATGGAGCATTGCTCCAATCAATCTTTTGATATTAAAAATGGATCAAATTGTTACATTTAATATGAAAGGTGTTGCTTGTAGCAACAAATCAAAGAAAATCACAAAGAATTACCACACGAGTTTACAGTTTCCCTCAGATCTTTGAAGTTTTTTGCCTCTTCAAACCCACTGCTTTGGGTTTTTTTTTTTTATTGCTTTGATCCGTTCTCTTTGCTCTCATCAGCGTTATTTCCAGCAGCAGCAGGCAGCTGTTGTCAGTGAAGAAGATAAACCCACTGTAATCCACATAGCAAAATTAAACTTCTGCCCCAACATATGCCTGGGTCCTCGGCCCGAGTCTGGCTCGTATACCTCCACATCTGGGCTGTTTCCTGCTGTTATCCTCCACTGTTTAGCTGCAGACAGCCAATAAGATTTATGTGTGTCAAGATGTGGACATAGCATTTGATAGTCATGTATGTATGTGGGCCGGACTTGGGCCAAGGAACTGGGTATACAGTTGAGTCAGATGAACCATAAATATGTGGCCATATGCTGGAATAATTTTGCTGTCTTGGCACCTGCTCAGCAACAAACATCAGACAAAGTTAGCAACAAGCTAATAGGGGATATTATAAATATAGAGCAGTTAGCAGCCAAAGAACCTTCAGGATATTCATTCAGCATATTTCATTCAGGAGTTGGCAGAGACCAAAACATGTCAGGTGTCATGAATGCTTGGTGCCACTGTGTCTGCTGAATGACTGAGTAGGCAACTCCTTGCTAATATGTTAGCCATATTGGCTTAAAGGGGCTATTTGAAGCCTGTATTTTCTGGTGGTGATGGTTATAATCCTCTGGTCAGTGCTACTTCTTCAGGTTAGACCGGACGCTACAGTGACTCGCTATCGGAAAGTGATGCGACTGTCCAGCTAAACCGAGGCTAGCTGGTTAGCATGCTAACTTCAGTAGAAGAAAAGAATTGATAGAAATAGAAGCAAAGAAAGAGTTAACATTGGTCTTTCCGCCTCTGGAGACAGCTGTTGGTGAGTAAGTGAATGAAGTTCAATGCTGAACTCATAACATTTCGTCTAGACTGGTGAGTGAACATCTGTTAATGCTAACATTGGCTATGTAGCAAAAACAAAACATTTGTATAGCTCCTTTAAGGTGATTAAATGTCAGTGTTGTGTTTTCAGGTTGTTTAACTCACAAATCTCCTTCAGGTGGTTTTGATTTCCCATTAAGCCGAGTGCACACAGCTGTAGATGCTGTGCTTCAACTAATTAGTGTTAATTTGATAAAACATAAATTTAGTACAGTACAATATGCGCTGTGTAAGCATAATATCAACTGAAATAGGCCAATAAAGGTATTAAAATTTGAACTGATATTAACTATAGCCTTCGAATTATGTAAAAATTGAGGAACTGCCTTAAGGTTCTCATCATTTTAGCTTATCCAGAGCTTTAGTGGTGCATAGTACCAAACACAACAGATTACTAAACCTAAACGTGGGGCCTTCAGGGCCTTCAGACAATAAACATTAAAACCGTCATACATACACAACATTATGTAAGACAAAGTGTTATACATAATGTTGACCAGTCATTATCCATGACATGATAGGGGATTAAGGAGGATAAAAGTGATGCTTCTTACAATCATGGGATATCCAACCTCTGCAGTCAAACACCCATCTTGTACACCATATTTTACTCTGTTTGTCAGGATGACTTTTGGATCATGTCATAATGTTGCTAACTGTTAAAGCAATTTTTTTTCATAAGTCTATCTACTTCCACAAAAACGAAAACTGCCGCAAGTAATTTTAAACCTTGATTGCTGTACCCGACTCCAGTGTCCAGCAGTCAAACCATTTTGGTTCATGATATCATTTGTGAAATGGAAAATAGAATGAATGGGTATCTTCTCCCTCCTCCATAAAAGCTATTACAATGGTACACCTTAGGAAGAGTAGAGTCAGATAAAAGTGTACTCAGCACCCAGAATACGTAATTCACTATTCTTGACACTATATGGATAAATAATAGAATTTAGCATTGATAAATACCCTAATCATGGATGGTATGGCATACAGCGACACAATCTTATTACAGTGCTGAGGGAAACTCTCGGTTACAGGGGAGAGGGGCTGATATGAGGTGATTCCACAGGCAGGGGAGAAATATGTTTCTTCATGACACAGTGAGTAAATGTGTCTGCAGTGGCCTTCAGAAGCTGATAAATTACACACAGCCCTCTGGTGGCATGGTGTTTCAGCTTTGCTTCTTTGTCTAAGAGGGGGGAAAAATGTCTTTTATTCTTTTTGTTTCTTCTCTTTTTTTCCTAATTTCTGTTCTCTGCATGTCTCCCTGGGCCTCCGCTTTGCAAATAGTTATGGCTGAGCATGTTGAGATATTTAGGGACCCTCTGTATCAAAAGGTTGGGGGCTAATTGGACAATTGTAGCACATCTGTTTCCCATCATGCATTGTTATCTGAGGGGTTCATTAGAGGGATGTTGTACAGAAAACCTGCCCATTGTGTCTTGACTAGGTTTTTGCTCTACAAGTGTCTGAGGATGCATATCAATGTCTGTATATGGGGGGAGAGACACCACACAAGATAATGCTATTCATTTGTATTCATTTATTGCCTGCTGTCGTCCCACTCCGCAGTGTATTAATTCTCAGCATAGAGGCATATCATATTCAAGTTTGTTTAAGCTTTTAAGCTTTAAGCTTTGATATAAACCGAATGGTTGATGCTAATGCTGGAAGGAGGCTACGCTGTGCTAATTAGGGTCATCTGATTAGACACAGCTAAAGGAATTTAACATGTACAGGCAGATGTAAATTACTGTAGGTGGTGGCTCATACATGTTCAGCCTTTCTTGTAATTACTTTGCATGTGTAGATGTGTATTGGCAGATTAATTAATAGGCTGTGCAGTGGACTTGGTTCCATGGCTGTGACTGAAACAAGAGCTTCAGGTTCACCATTACCTGTCATGCCTGAATACGTGATGAGAGTGTGCATGGTTGTGTGTACAGCTGCATGGAGGAGTGAGCGTGTTTGAATGTGCAGTCTTTGTATCTTGCAAATTGTATGTCTTTCTGTCTGTCGCTGTATCTGCACATGGAAACCTTTGAAAATCAGTGATATGTTGCAAACTTACACGCTTTTCATGTGCTTTGATGCCTGATGAAGCCATGTCAGAACACACTGGATAACTTCAACAATAAGAGTTCCTTTCTTAGTTCCTGTTTGAAAAACAGCTAAAGTTTTACCCAATAACAAGTATATAAACACATGCATTTGCTTTCTAAAATGCCTCCGAGCCCAGGTGCACATGTGTGTCCATGGGCACATCTCAAATGATAAAAAGCTCTCCTCTCTGTTGTTAGTGCGTCATATTAAACAGCAGAGAGCAGCAGCAGAGAGATACATATCACTCTTCAATAACTAATAACTCCTCCTTCAGATAGCCATAGGCAGAGCACTACAGGTGATGTGCATGACTGAGCATGCATGCATCATGTAATAGGTTCTTTCAATGACTACTGGGCTTTGTTCTGTCACTACAAAGCACCACTGTGTGCATAGTGCTTGACGCACAGCGAGCGGTGGATGTGGGTAATAGATTGGTAGTACCTACAGGCGAAACTGGATTCAACCAACTAAATGAATGGCTGCCTGCATTCTCTCCTCACACCGACAGAGCTGCAGCATTAAAGCAATTCCTGAGAGCTTCATATTAAGTGAAGAAGACACATGCAAAAGCTGTGGCTAATGGACATGTATAACTTTTAGAAAGCAGGATTCTATGTGTTATTGCCCATTCAGCTGATATGTCACTATACAAGCCTTTCAGGTTATTGAATCTACTGATAACTGTGAGTATAGCTGCCGATTCTATTAAAAGTGTGCTTCTTTTGAGTACAATAATAGTGCACTGCATTCACATGTTGATGACTAAAAAAGGAACCAATAACCTGCTTTACAGAACAATGTTCAGCTTTTATTCCAATATGCATTATTATGAAATTAAATTCATCTCCAGTCAAGAAAAAATCTTATTTGGGAATATTACATTCAGTTCCCATTTCAGAAACTGAAGGATATTAAAGCTAACTGCAAAATATGTGTTCGTTCTGGTGGAAATATAACAAAAAAAAACTCAAAGCAATCAATTTCTGCAAGAAAAAAAAAAAAATTAATTTCTTCACATGAAAACTGACCCATCAGTTATCCCCTTTGCACATGCCCTTGTCCCTGGAGCATCACTGAATTGATTCGAAAACATAGAAATGTTAATACAAAATATCCCAAGGCTAAGTAAGTGTGTTTATCCTTCTTCTTCCTATCAAATTTCTTGAACTGTGAGTGGATCTTTACAAGATGAACATGCGTTTGAAGTGTTTGTCACAATGTGAGCAGTCCTGCAGTGCAGATCAGGGTTATTTGATATGTAAAATAAAAATGCTAAAATGTTCAGATTTTAGTGAGTGAAATCATACATATG